AAAAACAGGCTGATCTCCAACATCTATAAACAAAGGTGTTGATGGAAGCAGCACAGCTGATATTTCATTCCAGGATGGAGTCACAGCCAAAAAGGAACAGGCCAGATGAACAGGCCTACATCTAAGGACCAGTCTAACACTGAACATCGCCCTGAACATCCCAATGGTGAAACATGATGGAGGGTGAATCATGCTGTGACTGGGAAACCAAACTTGGTCGGGTTACCGGGGGGGTGGATGAAGTTTTAAACTGATGGTATTACAAGAAGATAACCTGGTTAAGCATCTCTCTACTATCTGCCTATCACAGACATGTCCAACTCCAGTCATCAAAAACATTAAGATCTCGCACCTAGATGTTTACTGGCTACAGCACAATAGATTGTTTTCTTTGAATAGGTTCCTTGGAGGCCCATGTCTCTTAAACCATAAAGGTGTTAAGAAGTAGAGTCTAAAATAAGAAAGCCCAGTAAAATACATAGATGCTTGTGGTTGTAATGGGACATAAATGTAAAAAGGTTTTAAGGGGTGTGGATATTGTTGTAAGACAACGTAGACCTTTTTATCTCTGCTGCAGGAAAAAGGCCTCTGTCTTCCATGTGTCCAACAATAATCTTTGATAAGGACAACCAAGTGAAAATGGTTGTAGGAGCATCAGGGGGCACAAAGATTACCACGGCTACTGCCTTAGTAAGTACAGTCAGTCAATCACGTCTCCCTATAGAGTCCCAATCTACAAGGACTGAAATTTAACTTGCATATTTTGGTAAATCCAGGTCATCCTCAACTCACTTTTCTTCAACTACGACCTAAAAAAAGCTGTGATGGAGCCACGGGTTCACAATCAGCTCAACCCCAACATGACGGTAGTGGAGCAAGGCTTTGAGAAGGTGAGTCGGCCATGGGAAAAAAGCCTGAAAAAGCTAAAAGCTGAATCTATAGGAGAGAAACAGGTCCAACTATATCAGCTATAATAGAAGATGCTTTTTGCATCAGCTCAAACGATGTTTCCCTCCAGGACAAGGTCACTGCAAAAATGGTGGCCTGTACTTTTTCAAGTCAGGAGAGTTGACCAATGCGCTTTACACTATATTAAAGGTACACTATGCAACCGGTGTTGATTTTCCAGCGAGGCTCCTCCCAGAGGGCGAA